TCAATAAAAACATAGTGTATATATATGCATACAAGACATATAAAAGCACTCTAAGCACATTTTAATATAAAGAAACAGACAAAATGAAGTCATACATAAATATATAGTAATATATAAGCTTCAAAATACAAAGATACAATTATACAAATAATAACAGTCTCAAAGCCAAAAGAAATGACTGCACAGTTCAACAACAAAACCTCCAAAAAAATCATTGTTGTTGCTAAATATATGCGTATACCAGGGTCTGTTTGCTACTCTAATCAGCAATATAGCCACCCAAAAAAAATATTAGTGTTGTTGCTGCATAAACTCAGCAACAAGTGGCGCTACTGCCACACAAATTCAGTCATATAGCCTCAAAAAATAAATACAAAATGCCCCTATCCAAGATCATTCATCATCTCCAACCCCAAGATCTACATCACTCAAGTCATCTTCATCTTCTAATATCAAAAGTTCTTCTTCTTCATTATCTTCAATTTCATCCTCATCTTCTATTATTGATTTTCCCTTACCAATCTTGGCATTCAAGTTTCTTGGACCTATGTAATCAAAAGAAAATAATAAGGTCTAGTTCTAATTCCAACTTCCAAGTTCTAAACTAACTTTTTGCAAAGTTATACAGGAATTTGGAATGATTCGCTGCGAGGCAGACCACTCTGTCTTCTTTAGACGCTCATCGACACATAGATTTATCTATCTTGTTGTTTATGTAGATGATATTGTGATTATAGGTGATGATCAGGAGGGCATCAAGGCTCTGAAGCAACATTTATTTAAAAAATTTCAAACTAAGGATTTAGGTCCCCTACGTTATTTCCTTGGGATTGAGGTTGCTCAGTCAAAGTCTGGTATTCCTATTTCTCAGAGAAAATATGCCCTTGATATTCTAGAAGAGACCGGACTTACAGATTGTAAGCCAGTTGACACTCCTATGGATCCCAATGTGAAGCTTATGCCTAATCAGGGGGAGCCTTATCCTGACCCAAGGAGATATCGGAGATTAGTGGGAAAATTGAATTATCTCACCATGACCAGACCTGATATATCCTTTCCTGTCAGTGTTGTAAGTCAGTTTCTTAACTCTCCCTGTGAGAGTCATTGGCTTGCAGTTGTTTGAATCCTTAGATACATCAAAATATCTCCAAGAAAAGGACTTGTTTACAATGATAGAGGACATACATACATTGTTGGATATTCAGATGCAGATTGGGCAGGTGATGCAAGTGATAGACGGTCAACATGAGGCTATTGTGTCTTCATGGGTGGTAATCTTGTCTCATGGAAGAGTAAAAAGCAAAGTGTTGTTGCACGATCAAGTACAGAAGCAGAATACCATGCTATGGCTCACACCACATGTGAGCTCTTGTGGCTAAAATTCTTAATTCAAGAGTTGCAGTTTTGCAAGGTTGGTCATATGGAACTAGTTTGTGATAACCAATCAGCTTTATACCTCTCCTCTAATCTAGTTTTTCATGAGAGAATAAAGCATATAGAGGTTGACTGCCATTTCATCAGAAAAAAGATCCTCTCCGGTATCATCAAGACCTCCTCAGTTTGCTCCAAGGATCAACTTGCAGATATCTTTACTAAATTTTTACGAGGTCCTCTCCTAATTTCTAGTTTAGTTTCCTTAGTCAGTTTTATCTAAATCCCTAAACTTTAGGGATTCATTATATTTTATGCCTATTTATTTTATTGTACCCATCAATTCAATAATATGAAAATCATTCAGATTCAAGTCTATGAAACAACTTGGCAATGTTCAAAGCCAAGCAGACCACACCCTTTTTCTAAAAAAATCCAAAGATGAAAGAAGGGCTATTCTTATTGTATATGTAGATGACATGGTAATCATAGGTGATGAGAATCAAGAAATTGACAATCTCAAAAGTTGTTTGCAAGCAGAATTCAAGTTAAAGATCTTGGGCAGCTTCAATACTTTCTTGGGATGGAAATAGCTAGAAGCAAGAAAGGTATTTTCATCTCACAAAGGAAGTACACTCTTGATTTGTTTCGAGAAACAGGGAAACTAGGTGTAGACCTACAACAACTCCCCTAGACCGAAATTGGAAGCACAAGATTATTGAAGATGGTCCTCTAGTTGAGAAGGAGAGATATCAACTCTTCACTATCACCTCATTCCATCAGTACACCAACTCCTCAAGCCATGCTCACAAACACTCAACCTTTAGTCATGGAAGTTAATATTCTGACTCTAGAGCCACTTATCATGTTACAAATGTGTCTCAAAACTTGCATCAACATTATTTGAAGGACCTGATCAAATCCTCATTGGAAATGGTTAAGGTCTTCCTATTCAACATGCAAGTGTTGCGTCCTTTATGTCCCTGTTAACTTTCAATTTCCACTTATTCTAAAGGTTTTAATGTTAACCATCAATTTTTATTTGGTAACATGTCTAACATGTGCTTCAAAATGCCATACAAAAAAGAGGTGCTTGAGTGATCAAAAACTCACTCGATAGATCAATATCTATATATGTGTGTGTGTATAAACCCTAAGATTTGATAGTTGAAATCTTGTTGTCACTTAATGTCTCAAATGTGTTTGTACATCATATGACTTATTTGATCCACACTTTGCAACATTATGTTTTGAACTAGCTGCCGCATGCACATAAAGACTTGTGATATTAGAGTCAATCTTCTCATCATCATGAGTTTTTTCTATCCGCAAACTTAAATGCATCCCTTTGCAGTGACTACTGCATTAAACCTCAACTTTTGCTCCCAAATCTTATCACCTTAAAATCAAAGGTTCATGTAGAGGTCTTATACCTTTGAAATTTGGTGGAAGTATCTAGTTGTAGAATCCATATACAGGTGTTGAAAAACAAGTGTATTACTCACCTAATGTGTCTCATGTGTTTCTTCGTGGTTTCAAGCATGACGCATCAAAGAATGACTACTTGGTGGTTCAAGTGTTCAACAGGGTTAACCCAAAATTTGATGCTAAAGCAAATTTATGATGTATTAATGCATATTATTCTTATTTTCCCCCTTGATTTAACCGAAACGTTTTATTTTAGGGATACCACTTCCTGTTGATTTTCAGTACACAAAATAAATTGTGGTTTGGCGGTACATGGAGAATAATTTATGGGATGAGTGTTGGGACCAGGACCCCTGTGTCAACATTTTAATAGAAATACGGGTGATGAAAAAATATAAAGTGCAGTCATCTTTGACCAAGACTGTTGCTGTGTCTCAAAATGTCATTGATCTTTCTGAATACTTTGGAATCTGCTATACAAAAAATTTGTGATATTGTTGGATCCGGTTGATTGACTACACTCGTGAAATGTAAGGGACAGTTGTAGGAGCATCAATCCTATCATGATGTGTCTACAAAATTCTGATGTGTATACAAAGCCTATGCTTTCACTCTCGTGACAGCCAGCAAGCTGATGATGTTGACAAATAATAGCAAATTAACAACAGAAATCAGATTGTGAAATATTTTCTAGTACATTTTGGTTATTCATTTACTTACTTTTGGTCTCCCCATGTTGCCTCACATCTAATTGCTGTCTGCCACATTCAGTAAAAGAAACTAATATGGAAGGAATCATGTATACAATCAGGCATATTTGTGGACACAACGGGCACAAAAAAGGGGATTTAAGAGAACCCTAGGTTACTGATGCCATATTGAAGTTTACAGGAATTGTGTAATGTTCAGACACAAATTCATTTATCTATAATCAAGAGAAAACAATGACAACTTAAAGAGGATGGAGTCATGGGGTGATTAATTATGTGTTTTGATTGAGACTCATTGAGAGCAGACTCATTGAGAGCTATGAAGCACGGATACTTCAATTTGCTTCACGTATCCGTATCTGATACGTATCCGATACGATACTTTTAGATACTTAACCGATACGTGTCAATGAAGTATCCTAGCTTTTAAAAATATTATAGAAGTTTTATTCAATTTTGATACTTTCAGATACTTCACTGATACTTATTAGTGATACATATCAATAAAGTGTTCAAATTTTTAAAAAATTATGAAATATCCATTACAGCTAAATAAGATATATAAGCATGTTTAATATAGAAACATAGAACTACTAGTCCTTGATGAACTGTAAATGAAAATTGTCTTCTATATAAGATAATTTCAAGAAAGGAATGATATTGGTAATATTATTTCTATTTGTAAATAATAAAAAGTAATTTATGATGAAATGATTTATAATTTATTTACTTTTAGTAGTGTACAATAAGTATGTTTTTAATTTGGATTTGCAAAATAGCAATTATATATTTAATATTTACGAATTTTGATCAAAATTACAAGTACACATTTATTATATTGTATGAACATTAATACATATAATGACACGTATCTTACAAGTATCGTATCTTATATATTTTTAAATAATCGTATCGCCGTATCGGATACGTGTCGTATCCGATACACGTATCGTATGGGTGCATCATAGATTGAGAGTTTTGGTAGACCGATCAGTATTTTTTGGGGTGATAGGTCCGAGGTCATAAGGCCTGACCGAACCTTGTTTTTTAATCTATGAAGGAACCAACTCTGATACCATATTAGTAGACTGTGAAGAAAATATTTCCTGTCTTGTTTCATTTCAAATGAGCATAAATACAGTATATAGAATAACGTAAAGAAAAATAAGGAAATAAAAAATAGGGTATTCCCAAAATTTGGTATCCCGTAAGTTACAAAGGTGAAGATTGACTGCAGTCCTTCCAATTAATGAGATGCTGTGGTTTTCCTAAAATTTAGGGATTAATTTACAATATGATACAAATTTATTTCTTTTTTATGTGCATGTGAAGTTTCCCGAATTAAGTCAATTTTTTTAGGTAGATTATTTTTTCTTTATTTTACTACGTGCCCATGCTTGTGCATATCTGTATGTAATTAATTAATCTTGCAAATTTCATAAGTCAATATAGAAATAAGAGCTCAAATTCTTATGTTTGATGTATTCTTAGGTGGTTCACTTTCGATCTCTGGATAGACCTAAGGAAGACGACTTTTTCTTAGAGATGTAAGCTTCTTGGTACTTGTTGGGGGCAAATTGTTAAATTTTATACTATTTACCTTTTTTACTAAAGAGCAGAAGTAGTTTTATTTTGTAGATGATTATGTTTAGCATTCTGTCCTTGGTCTTATTCTTTTCCTTACATTGAGTTTTAGGTCAAGGCTTTATTCATATGATGATGTGGTGGAGAGAGTAGCTCAACAACTTGGTTTGGATGATCCATCCAAAATACGGCTTACACCACACAACTGCTATTCACAACAACCCAAACCCCAGCCTATTAAATACCGAGGGGTAGAACATCTGTCTGACATGTTAGTTCATTACAATCAGGTATTTATTGTAAATTGATCTTAATATTTTTCTTGAAAAGAGAATAGATCTTATTCCTTTCTTCAATGTCAGACCTCAGATATATTATACTATGAAGTACTTGACATCCCTCTACCAGAATTGCAAGGGTTGAAAACTCTGAAAGTTGCATTTCATCATGCCACTAAGGATGAAGTGAGTATGTTGACCAGATTCTCTTCCATTTTTATGTTGATTTATTTCCTAACACTTCTGTGTTTCTTAAAATATTTTCATCAGGTGGTTATTCATACTATCAGACTCCCGAAGCAGAGCACTGTTGGGGATGTCCTTGATGATCTTAAGACAAAGGTGAGATTGCTTAGTTTTGATTTATAAACATGCCTACATAGACAACACTGGTCCCAAGAAACAGATGCTAACAATTATGATACATTGCTTCATTTGAAGTCAAAAGGGAAATAAGGCAGTGTTTATAGACTCATTGATGGAGATCCCACATTAACTAATGATATGATCAAAATAATATGTACAAGTGAGGGGCAACCCTCACCCCATGAGCTAGCTTTCAGGATTGTCCCAGGCCTAAGCCCAAATTCCAAAGGTATTAGAACCTGTCCTAGTGAATGTTGTTTGGTATGTAGGCCGCCCATTATTGGAATTCTATTATACCAGCTGCAAATGTCTAATCCTAAAATCTTTTTGCTGAAGATGTTTAGTTTTCAAAGTGATTGGTGTTGGAGATCCCACATTGACTAATGATATGATCATAAGTGCGGGACAACTCTTACCCCATGAACTAGCCGTTTTGTTGGGCTATGAGTAAACTCAAAATCTAAGATACTATTGAAGTCTATCCCATTGATGGTTGTTGGACCATCAAGTCACCCATTAATGGGATGTTATTGAATTACCTGACTTCTTGCTTAAGATGTGCAGTTTTCAGAGTGATAAGTGCGTTAAAAATCTCGCATTGATGGATGATATGACCAAAATATTGTATCTAAGTGTAGAAAAATCATCAAAGCCTCATGATTTAGCTTTTGGAGTTGAGTTAAGCCCCACCCCAAATTCCAAGTCTCTACCATATTTGCCTGTTTCTAGATGTTGTGAATTGTGAGTGCATTGTAGGGCAAATACCAAATTTTGCAAATAAAGTTGCTAATGTTTCCTTCATTATTAACTTCTACATGAAAGTATACTTTAATTCTAATGCCCACTTTTTACTATTGCTCAGGTTGAGTTATCTGATCCTGAAGCTGAACTTAGGTTGCTTGAAGTCTTCTATCACAAAATATACAAGGTATGATGCATTGATGACTAGTTGATTATTACTATTTTTTGTTATTGTTAAAAAAACCATCTGGAAATCTTATTTAAATTTTCTATTCAATTTGATCCTGTCCTTTACCTGTGTGTTTCTGCATGTGCTATTGACTCAGAAACAACACATTTTTATCGTTGAAATTTGTTTGTCACTTGTTGCCCTCTGCCTGTGCAGGTCTTCCCTCCGAGTGAAAAAATTGAAAACATTAATGATCAATACTGGACATTACGAGCAGAGGAGGTAGAAATTTCTTTCTATATATGGGGGTAGAGACTAGAAACAAGGGAGATAGCCTTAGTGTTATGAAGTATTCCTGCCTTTATTTGTTCAAATGATAATATCGTGTGATTCTTCCAATTATATTATATTCTTTTTGTTCAGTTTCTCAACTAAATATTTCAAATTCTTACTTGGTCACATTCAAATGTAACAGATTCCAGAAGAAGAGAAAAATCTTGGTCCTCATGATCGTCTGATTCATGTGTACCATTTCAATAAAGACACAGCTCAAAACCAAATGGTAAATAGTATTAATTGATTAATTTTTTATTATGATGTTTTTAAAATTGATTCGCAGATATTTCATGCGACTTTAATTGTATGACCTAAGTATTTATTTTTGTTTTCCCCCCAAAATTTACAGCAAATTCAAAACTTTGGGGAACCTTTTTTTCTAGTAATACATGAAGGTGAAACTCTATCCGAAATTAAAGTGCGAATACAAAAGAAACTTCAAGTTCCTGATGATGAGTTTGGCAAGGTATTTCATCATTTACCTGTGTTATTTTTAGATTTCCGGCTTTTTGAGTAAATTTGTTTGCTTGATGAATTCATTGAGAAAAAGTTGATTTGTATGTTTCTTGTTTTTCCAGTGGAAGTTTGCATTTCTATCACTAGGGCGTCCCGAGTACCTTCAAGATTCTGACATTGTATCCAGCCGTTTTCAGGTGCGCTTATTGAAACTTAATTGTAATTGTTATTTTCTCAAAAAGATATTCATCACTATATTCATGTTTAAATGTGTTTACTTTGTGCTTGTTTTGGTATCTTTTGATAGAGAAGAGATGTTTATGGTGCTTGGGAGCAATATCTTGGCTTGGAGCATACCGACAATGCTCCTAAAAGATCATACGCTGTCAACCAGGTTAGTGAATTTTCTGATGGTCAAGCTTTCTCAATGACAATTCAGTTGAGGGTAAAAATCTCTCTTTTGTTTACACCTCATGGCTTATGTTTTCAGAATCGGCACACGTTTGAGAAGCCAGTAAAGATTTATAATTAGGAATTGATGAGTTCATGCATAGGATGAATTTGGCATTATTATATATCTAAGGGCTTGTAAACTTGGCGAAGATGGAAAAAGGCAACTATGTATAGGACTAATGAAGTCAGCAATTCAGGTGGTGTCTGAAGACTTTAAGTTAGTTATGTGGTATGTAATTCTTTCTGTCAATGGAGTAACATTGCTCTCAACACCTTGTATCTGCCAACCACAGCGCCTTGAGCTTTTTACTACTTCCGTTTTTATATGGAGGTTCTCCAAGTTGAGGTCATTGATCATCATCGCTGAAACTGTATCAGTACATAAGATTTTTGGATTAGTGAGTGTATACAGGGTATAGTTGGTTGACTTTTGTCATTTTTCTTGATTGCTTCCTGATTTTGTCCAGTTAGAAGTGTTAATCCAAGTGACGGCTGCATAATGGTGTAGCAGAGACAGCTTTTTTATGTAATGTAAAAGAGATTTACCAGCCTCCATATATCTCTGGTCAACATAAAATTTTCACCATTTCATATGGTAGTTTATCCTATTCCCCCTTGTCAACTAGCTATGAATAGAAACATTATAGAAAATGGGCATTGTAAGCGCAGCGCTTTCTGACTTAAGCAATATGAAGAGCTATTACATTGGCCGTTGACTTTCCTTCTAATTGGCATAAAAATGTTACACGCCAGTGTGCAAAATGTTTTCAAGACCTGCGATATAAAAATGGAAGCAAAAGGATAACATCATGGATTTAAATTTTGTATTTTTCTTGCATGGATAGATGCTGGCGGGAAGGAAATGGGGTTTTTTCCCCTAAAATTTGAGAAATTCAGATTGTGCGGTTTTTCCTCTCGAGTTTAATGTGAGAGTGGTGTTGCTTTTCCTACCTCGTTTCATTGCACTCATGAAGAGGTATCATATCTATTGAGCAAAATGAATGCAGTTGATCTTCTAAGTTAAAAATAGTAGAATGACATTTTTAGCTCACGCAAATAAAATATCGGATACAAAATTGTGATATGCATAAAGTTACTACGTTAATCACAAGCAAAAGGCCATTAACAATTCAAATAAAACTACCACGTTTCGAGCATATTACCTATGGAGTACGGACTTAAGGAACGAAGTTAATACTGTAATCTGTATTTTAACTAGTAGCATACCCTTGTTCCCACGGGTTAACTGATTTTATTTAAACAAATTTAATTAGAATTTATGTAAAGGTAAATGTTCCTTTTTTAGTATGTTAAATATACTCTTATTGTTTTTTTTTTAAGTGAGTAATTTTGTATACAATGCATGTCTAACATGAAGTTCAAAAATTCCAATATTTTTAAGGATATGTCAAACAAAAGAACATTCCATTGTTATGTTTTAAATATGAAGACCACCATAAATTAGAAAAGATCAAATAAGGGTTAGAAGCCCACCATAAATATAGCACTGATTGCCTTTAATATATTACAACAATCGTAATATTGTGATCAGAAGTTTAAATGCAAAGTTGTGCTAAATCCTATAAACAAAAACACAAACCATTAAAATTTTTGGTTGTGTTTCAATCATTCATTAATAGAAAACATAATTCTACTCTTTGAAATATAGAAAATGTACTGACACATTTGTAGATTCAGAACAAAATCTATGTAACATCTTCAATATAAATAAAGTTAAATAACAAAGTTATTTCATGAAGAAATCATAAATATTACATTCCTAATAATAAAGTTAGATTGTCATCAGAAATACAAAGACTTCATCTCCTAAAAAAGGATTCCAATGAATCATCTAAAAACACATCCAACAAAGAAAATATGGTCATAATCTTTGGTTTTAGAAAAAAAAAAAAATAATAAGTCATAAGGAGGTAGAAAAAAAATACATTTATATTTAAATTATTATAATAGAGAATTTAAAAAATTAACATAATTTATATTTTGATGTAATTTCAAGTAAATTATTTTTTCTGGCCAATTTTAAGTATATATTTCCTATTTGCTTTTATAAAGAAATTTTACTTTTCATTTATGAGTTAAGTCTAAATTTTTATGTTTATTTTCATAAATAATATTCATCCTCATATGTTATATTTTATTGCTAATTTTTATGTTAGACAAAATAAAACATTTGATATATTAAAGAAGTCAAAATAAAAGAAGAAAAATAATTTTGATATAATTTTTCTTTTGCTTCATCTTTGTAACATTTAGTTTATTTATTGTTTTAATTTACCATAATATTTTAAATGATAAAGCATTTCAGAAAAAAATGATCATTCCTAAAAATATTACATGTAAATTTTCCTACTTGTTTTCATTATAAAAGAAAGAGAGAGAGAGAGAGAGAGAGAGAGAGAGAGAGAGAGAGAGAGAGTAAGTCTACTTAGATACGATTTTAATGAATAAAATAAAGTATCAAATAATTTTTAAATTCTTAAAAATTTGTAGACTTGATCTATTTATTAAA